TGTCTATGCTGGAGTTCAAGAGTTTTAGCTCTTTATTTTCTATCAATTTCTGTCTTAAAATTTAGTTTTTTGAACCATTTTGACTTAATTTAGTATATGACGAGAGAGATAACTTAGATTCAGTCTTGGCACATGGATAGCCATTAGTCCCTGCCCCATCTATTAAAGAGGCTATCTTTGCTTCAGTTTATATTTTTGGCCCCTTTGTCAAAGCTAAAATAGTTGAAGGCATTTGCAGTTGTTTCCGCACTTCCACTCCGTTCCACTGATTCTTGTATCTGTTTTTGTGCCAGTACCATGCTGTTTTTATCACAGTACCTTTTAACGTAACTTCGTCTGGGATTATGATGCATCCTGCTTTGCTTTTGCTGCCAATGGTTGTTTTCTTATTCTGCATCTTTCTGTTTCCATATGAATTTTAGGATTGCTTTCCCCAGTTCTGTGAGAAAAGCCGTTGGTATTTTGATTGGGGTTGCATTAAATCTATATATAAACTTTGGAAGTATGGCCATTTTGACTATATTCATTCTGAATATCCAGGAACAGGGTATCTTTTCATTTTCAGATGTCCACTTTCATTTTCTTTTTTTTTTTTTTTTATCGGTACACGGGATCAAACTCACGACCATGCGGCAGGTGCTTATGCTGCTGAGCTAAATCCCGAGCCCCACTTTCATTTTCTTTTTCAGAGTACTGTAGTTTGAGCAGGGCGTGGTGGTTTACGCCTGTAATCCCAGCACTCGGGAGGCTGAGGTGGGAGAATTGTTGCGAGTCATTCAATTTTTTTCCCCTGTATTTCTTTCCATCCCTGTACTGCTTCCTACTAATTTTACTCTTTTGTGGTGGTTTATACTGTTAAATTTCCTATGTTTTCTGTATTTTATCTATACTAGGAAGGATAATTCTCCTTTTCATGTATGATAATTCTGGCAAATATGTACTGATTCACAGAGCTGGCTAGCTTACTTTGAAATTGATGTTTATCCCAAAGCTTTCACTGAAGGGCTCTGTGAAACTATTAAATGTTAGTCTTTGTTCCAGTAAAAACCTGTGTCTTGTTTAATGAAGACTAAATAAAAAGGTTGTACATGTAAGGATGACTTTAGTATTTCTTACATTTAATTAATTTTGGGTTTTATGTTTGTTTATTTTGGGCAGGGTGTTTGAGACAAGGTCTCATGTAGTTCAGGCTGGCCTCAAGCTCCCAGCAATTGTCTTGCTAAGTGCTGGGACTGCAAGCGTGTGCCACCATGCCCAGCATTTATGTTTAATTTTAACAAATACATTATTCAAAAGACATCCATTCTTTAGAGATTCCTAGGGTTTGACTTTTTTTATAAAAACATTTTATAGAAAATAATGAAATTGCTGGAATGAAGGGAAAACGCCTTTTTTAAGATACAAGCATGGTGCGAATGCTTCGGTAATCCCAGCATTTTGCAAGCTGAGGCTGAAGGATCTCTAGGAGCTTAAAGCGAGCCTGGGTTATAGAGTGCGTTCATGGCCAGCCTGAATTACATAATGAGACCATCTCAGAAGACCAAAAGACTAAATTACAATCAAGACATTTGCCACTATGGTTGGCGATCAGAAAAAAACATGTTGGTACTTAGACATCAGGCTTGTGTGATGTTTGTCAGAATTCTATTCCAAGTGCCTTCACTCCTAACAGCATTTTTTTGTATTGCAATTAAACACCAGAACTATCTTACTCCAGTATTCACTATAGCAAAAATCCCAAATAATACTCTATTAGTCTCAGGGTCGTTTTCTTAGGAACACATAAGATTCCTACAACTTTTTGCATTAAAATATTTGAGCTATGATAATCCCTTTACTCTCCTAAAATAGTTTCATGTCACTATCTGAATGTTCTAGTGTTGATACAGATAGAGCCTTACTTCCTTTGATAGCAAATAATTTAAGCAATATGTTTGCTACAAGAATCTATGTTTTACTGGACAACCATTGTTTTTACAACTCCTAACATCTTGCATTTTTGCTAATATGTACAGACATTACAAACCACAAATTCCTCAGTAGTAAGAGTTAAACATGATAGGGTATAATACTGATGAGCCAGAGCTTCTTTAGGGCTTATTCCTCTTGGGCAGGACATGGTTCTTAGGGTTTTAAAATGATTAATCAGTGCCTTCCTACCAGCCTTGCACCTTTCCTATTAGCGGTACTTCCTGTTTGGCTGATTTCCTAGGACTTGTAATTTTGGACTTGTTAAGATATATGGCAATCTAGCCGGGTGTGGTGGCTCATGCCTGTAATCCCAGCACTCAGGAGGCTGAGGTGGGGGGATCATTGCGAGTTCGAGACCAGCCTGGGCTACAAAGTGAGCTCAAGGCCAGCCTGAACTGCACAGCGAGACCCCATCTCAAAAAAGATGGAAAAAAAAAGCTACCGCAAAGTACTGTAGTTTTCATCATAGAGGTCTTTCACTTTCTTAGGTTAATTTGATGTCTTTAATTTTTCTTGGTGTTATTGTGAATGACAGTTTTTCCCAGTTTCTTTCTCAGCAGATGTATAGAAGCACTGTTGATTTTTGTGTGATCTTTTATCCTGCTACATTATTGAATTTGGTTAATAATTCAAGGGATTTTCAGTGGATTTTTTAGATCTTCTATGGCAAGGATCATGGCATCTACAAATACTGACAATTTGACCTCTTCCTTTCCTATATATACCCCTTTTAATTCTTTTCCTTGACTAACTGCTCTGGCTAATGGTTTGAGTACTATATTGAACAGGAGTGATGATAGCATCACATTTTTGTTTTGTTCCTGATTTTAGAGGGAAAGCAGTTTTTCTTCATTTGATACAATGTTGGCCTTTGGTTTGTCATGACTTTTATCAAATTGAGATAAAGTCCCTTTATTTTCTTCAGTGTTTTTATCATGAAAGAATGTTGGATTTTGTCAACCGCATTTTCTGAATCTATTAAGATGATCTAGTATTTATGTCTTAGTTTTTGTTTATGTATTTATTGATTTGAATATGTCAAACTGTTCTTACATTCTTAGGATGAAGCCGACTTGGTCATGATGTATGATTTTTTTTATGATTCATTACATTTTGTTTGCTAGTATCTTAGTTATTTCATCATTGCTTGGACAAATACCTGACACTCCCATGTTAAAGAAGAAAAGGTTTATTTTATCTCACAGTTTGCAGAGGTTTCAGTCCATAGTTAGGTGTTTCCACGGGAGGCCAGCATGGCAAAGGGACAAGGCAGGGAGAAAGAGTACATAGCAGGCAAGACGCAGCAAATGTTTGTCCTTTCCCTTTTATCCCATCCAGGCCATAAGCCTATTGGTTAGTGCTGCCCCCCGCCCCGCCCCGTAGATCTTCCCTCTTCAGTAAGTCCATCATACACACTCAAAATGACGTTAAATCAATCAAAAGACTAATTCACTATCACATCCATGATCACCTTCCAAAAGCCTACCTAGGAATACATCAGACTTTGGAGAGACATTTAGATATAAAACACAACTAACTGCCCTTAGCTCCCAAAAGATTCATGCACATCCCTTTATGCAAATGACATTTAGTCCATCTCTAAGGGTTGCCAAAGTCTGAACAGTTTCTACATTGCTGAAAAATGTAAGTCCAAATTCTCCCCTGAGAGTTAAGGCAAATTCTGAGATGTGATCCCTTGTAAAAATGAAAAGAAAGTTAAACACTTTGAAAACTCAGTGGCATAAGATAAACTTTCCCATTCGAAAAGGTACAAATAGAGGGACAGGGGAAATGTGACCAAAGCAAGATCCAAATCCATCATGGCAACCATTAAATACTAGAGTTCTATGTCAAGCATTAAGTGAAACCTGTGGCAAGATGTGAACTCTCAAGGGCACAGGTGGCCCTGCCTCATGGCACTGTCAGTGGGTCAGTTCTTACTGCTTTTCCCTTGACATGCTTGCTCATTCTTTGCAACTTTCCTCAGGCATTTCACTTTTTTGGCTTTTCCAACTCTCTCAGGTTTCCACTGAAGCCTCACACACTGCGCTCTCAGGGGCATGCTGCTTGCCCTCCCAGGCCTTCTTGGGAAATTTTGGGGAATGCCTTCCTGACCCTACAACTCTTACATTTCACATGCACCTAAAAATCTGCACCAAGGTCTGCTGCCAGCTAGAGCAGTACCCAGACTTCTTTCTCTCTTGGTTTTAGGGTTGTTGAGCACTATAAATCCAATCCTCAGGGGGGAAAAAAAAAAGCTCCTAGGCAATGAAACATGATGCCATGGGGATCTCTTCTCCAAACTTTTTCTCTTTCAAAACTGTCTTTGCAATTTTGAGGGAATACAGTTAAAGTCCTGCTGGTTCTTGTGATGCCATCTTTTCTATTGTCCTGTTCAAAAATATTTGGTTTTTTTAATGCTAATCTTTCCGGCAACCAAGTTCCCCTCTGTTCCATTTTTGCAAGTTGTAACTACTGCAGCTTCCTTTCTAGTCAAACTCAAAACTTTTTAAATCATTCTTCTGGGCCTCCAGCTCTTGATTTTCTAAGTACAGCTGAATAAAAGTTCCTAGTAGTAGCCATGCTACCATCTCCACATTAGACTGCCTTGAAATTTATTCTGCCACATTAATTAGTCCACCACCCTTAAACTCAGCCTCCAGATATGCTCCTGGACATGAGTAAAATGCAGACATATTTTTGGTCAGAGCCAAAAACATAGCCTGCAATTCACCTGTTAACAGTGTCCTTACCAACAGAAACCTCCCAAACCTTGACTTTATCAGCTGCGTTACTCCCAATGATCTGGTCTTCTGAGCTCTGACCAGAATCTCAAGTTCAGCTCACAGCAATTTAAGGATTATTTCTACAGCCAGTATCTCTAAACTTTTTCAACTCTTCCCACAAGCCCAGTTCCAAATGTTTCTGAATTACATTGTCAGGTAGCATCACAGTAATGACCCCACTTCTCTGGTACCAAAATCTGTCCTAGTTACAGTCTAGTTGTTGGAACAAATACCCAACATTCATAAGCTGAAGGAAAGGTTTATTTTATTTCATAGTTTGTAGAGATTTCAGTTCATCATCAGCTTCCAAGGTAGGGCAGCATGGCAAAGGGACATGACAGAAGATATTATTCCATCTAGGGTACAAGGCTCTTGGCTGACACCACCCACATAGAGTACAGGTCTTCCCTCTGTAATAAATTCATCATATATACCCAAAACTATGACAAACCAATCAATAGATTAATCCAGTACCTAGTATCACATGCCCAGGATCCAATCACTTCTCTCTCTTTCAACCTCTGTCTGCCTGTCTCTCTCTCTTTGAGACAGGGTTTTGTTGTGCAGTTCAGGGTGCCTTAAACTTACTATGTAGCCCAGACTGTGCTTGAACTCATGTCAATCCATCTGCCTCAGCCTCTCAAGTGCCAGGATTACAGGTGTACACCACCATGACTGGCTGCTGCAGTCACTTCTCAAAAGTGTAACCTCTGAGCACATCAGGCTTTGGGGGAACATCTACATTTAATTCGTAACAGCCATATCTTGTTGAGGATTTTTGCATTTATATCCATTAAAGAGATTGATCTGTGTTATGGCTGATATGTTGTGTCAACTTGGAAAGTTTAGAAATTTAACTAAGTTACCCAGCAGGGAGCCAGGATCTTTACTTTGTAAACATCCTGCAAGAGGGCGCAAGATGCTGTGACTGCTAAACCCCCACCCAGGGGCATAGCCTGCTTACAACATAAAGGAGGAAAAGAGGCTTTCTCTTCCCCACTTTTCTGCTCCTGTTGTTTTGCTGTCTTTTGTCAACTCAAAGTGTTGCCCCCGTCCCACGCCACCCTATCTTGGAGCCAGCTAGTTAGGGACTGAAATTTCCACCAACTGTGAGCTAAATAAACCTTCTTTTCCTTAATTTTGGGTGTTGGGTATTTTGTCTCAGCACTGAGAAAAAAGTAACTAAGACAGTCTGTAATTCTCTTTTTTGATCAGATCTTTTGGAATTGAGGTAATGCTAGCTTCCAGGAATTACTTGGGGAGTGATTCATCCCTTTCAATTTCATTGAAGAGTTTGATGAGTATGGTGTTAGATATGCTTTGAAGTTTTGTATAAATCAACACAATCCGTCCGGACCTGGCCTTTTCTTAGTTGGTAGGTTTTTGTTTTTGTTTTTAAATTCCTATTACTGGATTTTTCAGGGCTTTTAAATCTTTTTGGTTCAGTTTGGTAATTCATAAGTATTAAGGAACCCTTCTGAATTTTCTAGTTTACTGGTGTATAGATTTGTGAAGTAGTTGTCATTAATCCTTTAGTGTTGGCTGTGTCTTTTGTAATTTCAACTTTTTCATTTCTAATTGTATTGATTTGGGTGTTTTTTTCTTCTCTTCTTTTTTTTTTTTGGTGTTAGATTGGCTAGGAGTTTGTCTATTTTGTTTGTTCTTTTGAAGAACCAACTCTTTGATTCATTGTTTATTTGTATTGATTCATTAGTCTCGACTTACTTGATTTTGTTCTGATCTTTAAAATTTCCTTTCATTTACTAAATTTGAATTTGCATTGTTCTCATTTTTTCTAGGGTTTTGAGTTACATCATTGGGTTATTTGTTTGGGCATGCTCTGTTTTTGTGAGTACAGCTATAAACTTTCCTCTTAGAACTACTTTCATTGTATCCCATATACTCTGATGGCTTGTACTGGTATTATTTAGTTCTGGAAACTGTCTTATTTCTTCCCTGACTTTTATGTGGTACATAGTTTATTTAAGCACACATGGTTTAATTTCCATGCATTTGCATAATTTCTATATTTTATTTTGCCATTGATTTCTAGTTTCATTGTGTTATTATCTGACAATATGCATGGTATAATTTCTATTCTTTTACATTTATTTACATTTGTTTTATTTGCTAGTGTGTGGTCTATTTGGAAAAAGTTTCATATACTGCTGTTGTACAGAATGTGTACTGTGTAGTTGTCAGGTGGGTCATTCTGTAGATACATGTTAAATCCATTTGTTTGAAGGTTTTGTTCAGCTCTGACATTTTCTTTGTAGACTTAAAAAAGTCTGGCTGATCTACTTATGATAGGTGGGTAAACACTATAACTGCGTTTGAGTTTACCAGATCTTTTATGTCCGGTAGTACTTGTTCTATGAAGTTGGGTGCATTACTGTTTGGTAATTATTATCACCTGCTGGTTTGTTCCCTTAAGCCATTATGTAATGACCTTCTGTTACGGTTTATGTCTGGATGTCCCCTCAAAGCCTTACACCTGCCCTGGGCAAGTAGCTTGCATGCAATATAAGGGAGGGAAAGAGGCTTATTTCTCCCTTTGCCCTTTCACTTTTGTCACTTTTGGTATCTACCACAGCTGCCATGAATTTTTTTCCATAGGCCATGCCACCCTGCCTTGGAGCCAGCTAAGTATGGTCTAAAACCTCCACAAACTGTAAGCTAAGTAAACCTTTCATTCTCTAATTTTGGGGGTCAGGTATATTGTTTCAGCAATGAAAGAAAAATAACCAACACACCTTCTTTGTGTCTTTTAATCAGCTTTGACTTGAAGCCTACTTTATGTATAGCCAAGAATAACAACACTTGATTTTTTTCAGCTTCCTATTGCATGAAATATTACTTTGATTTTTTTAGTCTACGAATTTCTTTTTGGGTTAAATATATTTCTTGCATATAGCATACCATTGGGTTTTCTTGATTGACTGTGCCAGTCTGTGTCTTTTGATTGGAGAATTGAGACTATTCACATTGATACTTATTACTGATAGGTTTGACTTACTCCTATCATTGTCTTATTTTCATGTTGTTGATTCCCTGTCTTTCCCTCCTAATTAACTTCTCACCCTACTGGGTATGCTCATTCCATTAGGCCTTTTGACATTGTTAGCTTCATTTTCTCTAAGACATCCTCTAGAATTTTTGGAGTGTTTGTTTTGTATTCGTGAATTTCTTTAGGTGTTCCTTATCATCATGAAAATATCTTATTTTTACATCAATTTGAAAAGATATTTTTGCATGATATATTAGCTAGGGTTGCATTTTTTTTTCTTTTAGGACTTAACACACTTCAAGTTCTTTTGGCCTCTAAAGTTTGTGTTTAGAAGTCAGTCTGCTGTAATTTGAATGGGTTTGCCTTTGTAATTGATTTTTTGCATTTTTCTAGTTAAGATGATGCTCTAATGCTCAGCTTCTGGGCTTTTGCCTATGGTGTCTTGTGGAGAGGTTTTTTTTCTGTTCATGGTTATTTGGGGTTCTATGTACCTCACTTATGTTAGATTTTTTTGGGAAAGTCTTTTGCTGTTACTTCAGTTAAGCAGGTTTTTTGTGTCATTTGTGCTGTCTTCTGATTTTTCACTAACTTTAAATCTATTTTGTATTATCTAACAGCAAGTGGATCTATTTTTCCTGTTTTCTTGTTTTTAAGGTATTTTTTATTACATGGTCACTGACAACAGCCTTATATTCTAGCATGATACCCCTCTCTTCATATTTCCTGCTTTTGCTGACCATTGTTATGATAGTATTTTTAATCGCCAAATTGTTATTCAAAATCTTTTTTTGGGAACTCTAATTGCTTTCTATACTGGTAACTCATGTTTTCCATCATTTTGTTTAGCTATGATAGCTTTTTAGTAAAGTCTTCTGTAGATGTATTGATTATTTGGCCCATTATCTGTTTGTTTCTGTGAGCTTGCCATATGGCCTTTTGATCTGTTATCTCCTCTAATATCATTTCAAATAATTTTAGCATGTGGCTTTTAGTTTCATCCTCTTTGATAACTCATGGATCAGCTTTGGGGACTTGTTTGGTTTTGGAGATGTCTTAGTTACTTCATCACTGCTAGGACAAAACAGTTGACTCCCACAGGATAAAGGTGGAAAAGTTTATTTTAGCTCACACTTTGCAAAGGTTTCAGTCCATAGTTGGCTGGTTCCAAGGCAAGGTGGCATAGTACAGGGGCATAGCAGAGGAGACTGTTTCATGTGTGGCAGGCAGAAAGCAAAAGGAAGTGAGTCTCTCTTTCTCTTTTATTCCAGTCAAGCTATATACTTATAGACTAGTGATACCCACACCCAGGGTGGGACTTTCGATTATCCACATCCAGACTATATTAAACCAGTTAATGGATTAATTTAGTTATTACACACCCTTAATCCATATTCACACACCCTAGATCCAGCCCTACCTATGAATGTATGAGGTTTTGGAAAGACATCTAAAGAAAAACTATGATAGAAAACCTTTTGCTGGCTTTATCTTCTTATGTTCCTTTTTTGTTTGCTTGTTTTCTTGTGTTGAAACTTGTGGATTAATTATAGTAGAAATCTTTTTTGCTAGTATGGAGGCGTGCTTAGTTAATGTCTAGTTTTCAGTGGTGTCCTCTTGATGTGGCTCTCAGCCTTTACTTCCATTCCAGGACTCAACTACCTCTGTTTACTTGGGAAGGAAGGTTGCAGCATATATAGCCTGGCATTCAGTTCTCCAGGAATGGGCCACAGTACTGTTAATGATCCATGACCCTAAGGCAATCCAGATACTGGCATCTCCCCAAAAACCAATTAATAGCAAAATCTATGTCACCTTAACTGTAGTACTAAAAGCAACATCTATTACAGTGTTAAGCTGAATATTGACAAAGCCTAAGGATCAGTAAATGTAGTGGTTAGTTGACTGTGTCAATTTGAGGCATTTAGAAACTTAATTAAATAGCTTTAGCAACTCTACAACCTAGGATGTAGAAGACCCATCCTAGGGTGGCTCATCACCTGGACGGTATAAAAGCGAAGGAGGAAGGACAAATGAATCCCATTCTTGGAGGAACTCCATCCAGTCTTTGCCTTTGGTTTGGACACCATCTCCTGGCTTCCAGGAGACTCTAGACTCTTTGGCCTTCTGTCGCAGACTCACTGGCCAGCTGGTCACGGGACCTAGTGAATAGGAGTAAGGCAGGTGAGGTGCTTAGGTGAACAGGTTTTCTCTTTCGTTGTGTGAGAACATTTTCCTCGTCTAATAATCTTCCTGTTCCTGTCAAATCATTCTTTCTCTCTAATTGGTCTAGCACTCTTAAACCTAGCTTTGAATTAAATTTAAAAAGTTAGGCATGCAGACATATAGCTGAGCATCGTGGCACATGCCTGTAATCCCAGCACTTGGGAGGCTGAGGGAGGAGGATCCCAAGTTCTAGCCCCAATTTAGCAAGACTTAATTTTAAAATTTTAAAAAGGGGAGGGTAGCGCTGACAATGAAGCTCTGTATGAGGGCCCTCGGTTTAATCCTCTGTACCGGAGTGTGTGGAGGGGGATTGTAATAAAAGTAGAATCTGCTAATCCAACAACTCAACCATCAAGATGCAGAATTTTTTTAGCCACCAAAGAATAGGTCCTTATACCAGACAGCAGATAAAGAGGGGCACCGTCTCATTATTTCTGACTCCTTACCTCAATATGAAGAAACTGATGCTTCTTTTATCTGGGGACAGTCTAATATCATATCCCTTCCTGGCCGTCTTATTCAAGAGGCGCTGGGTTTCAGGTGTACTCCCTTGGGACTTCTTGGGCCCTTATCCCTCATTCTAGAAAGAAGAGGTAAAAGAAAAACTGAAGTCATTAAAATGCAAAACCTGTTCCCAGGTCACCGACTACGTTCCTGCCTGCGTGGGCTGCTCAGTCCTTCCCTAAAGGATTTTCAAGAGTCCTCCCCTTTACAGAGATGGGGGAGGAGCTGAGCTTACCCTAGAAACTGACAGCCAGATGGTGAGGGGTGGCCAGGCGCGTCTGCGCTTAGGCTAACGTACAAACAGAATCAGCCTGAAGATTTGCATGGGGTGCTGGAGGAAGAGTCAGAATCAAACCAGCGCCAGCGAAGAATTCCTTTGCACTCTCCTGTTGGCGCCCCCATCCACTTAGGTTGAGCACGGCCAGTAGGGAGGGAAGGGTCTTTAGAGACTTTCCCCAATTCAATCTGTGAGATTCAGCAGCTAAACTCTAAGCTTCAGCGTGCGTTGCTTGTAGACTCGTGGGCTGTGCGGAAAGCCTCAGCCCAGCGGGTAGCAGACAAAGTAACAGACTTAGGAACACGTTCGCTCGGCTTCGCTTCGCTAGGCACTTTCCCAGCCCGGATCATGCCTGTGCCGCGCCAGCCGCGGGGTTTGCGCCTGCGCGATGTGTGTTGTGGGCGGGGGGAGGGCTCTTGATCCGGAAGCGTTCTGTCCCTGCCGGCATTTTCTTCCGGTGTGAGGCTGTTGTGGGTGCCTGCTGCAGCTGTTTCTGTGCTGGGGTGAGTAGCGGGTTCCTGCAAGACCTGGCTAGGCGCTTTCGGGGTTCCTCTGAGCTCCCTTAGGGACCAGCTCCGACCCGGGGAGCCCAGCCAAAAAGGTCACCACGCCCTCCTCCCATGCCCCACCTCACTGCCGCCCCCCAGCGCCCCGCATTCTCGGTGGCGAGAGGATTAACCTCCAAGGGCGTTCTGGCCCTCGCTTTGGCTTCCGGCCTGGCCTGGGCCCTGGCTTGGTGCTGACTCCAAGACTTGTGCCATTTCCAAGGGAAATTCGGTGGACACCCTGGTCACTGTGGAGGCTTGGGGTCGTCTGGGTGACCCCTCGATCAGGCTCCTAGGTAAAGGCGGCCGGAAGAAGCCGGGTATGATATTGTACAGAAGCTGTGTTCAGCTCTTCGTGCAAAAGCAGAGGTTGTTTCTGCATGGCTGGGCCAGCTTTCTCAGAGGATGGTGATGTTAATAATAACTTTGTCCTCTGTGTGAAGGTTGGTAGGCCCTCGTTGTCACAGGCAGTGTTTCTAGGGCCTTGATATCTATTAACCTGGGACCTAGAGCGAGAGTTTGTAAAACGCTGCATTGACCTGGGAGACACTACAGTATGTGTGCTGTGGTCTCAGCTCTTAATTTGTAAGTAGCTCATTTGATGAAATAATATTTCACTGTTTTCCACCCCGAGATGCAGAGTTCTTTAGACTGAAGCTATCTGGTGTTCATGTTTGCCTAACAGATAACTGAGTTAGTAGTACTTTGTGATATTTAATGATGTGTAGCACTATATCTATCTATATATATATATATATATGCATAGTCATTTTTGGAAGCTAGGTTTAACACAAGATTGAAATATATACATTCCCTCTCATGTGCACCTGCAGTTTTTGTATATATTCTGCTGTAATGTAAGTGCAACGACTTTATATTGCAGATATATCAATGCTACAGATATGATAGATATGTGTACATCTCACAGATAGTGTAGATAGCCTTTAAAGTTAGTCTGCAAAGCAAGAAGTTTCAGTTTCGTTTTAGGATTTTGAAGTCATTTTGGGCTTCAATCATGGGCTGTTGTTTTAGAAGTGACATTGGGCCTGGCTAGTGCCATACAGCTGCCATAAGCCCAGACCTCAGGTAGACTGAGTCAGAGGGACCCTAAGTTTGAACCCAGCATGAACTACAGGGAGACCCTGTCTGCAGGGAGGGAAAAAAGCGACGTTAGTAGTTATAAATCTCTGGCATCTTAAAGTTAAGAAGAGGAAAATACACAAACGAATTTTGTGTCAATATTTTTTGTAGGATTAAAAATGGTTAACTATCCAGATGACCCTGGTTTGTGCTTTGGTAGGGGCCCTAACTTATTCATGCAGTTTAGTGAACATCCAGTAGATGGCAGTTTTATGTCTACTAATGCTGTACTTCCAATTTGAAACAAATGAAACTGATATTTTGGAATGCCACCACTTCTCACAGATTAACTATCTTGCTGATTTATTTTCACCTATCGAGTAGTGCCCCACATGATGATATTATACATTGCAATGACATTTTTAAATTTACTCTTGGAATAAAGACTAAAGTCACATTTTCACTTTCTGTGAGTAGTGTCTTGTAACCCATTTTTTGGCATCAGTGCTGTTGGAAGAAAGCACACTTGATTACTAAGAGAGATTTTAGTTAGATGACTTCTAACTGCATTCTTTATAATTAATATAACTGCACAAGTAGGTTCATCATGTAATTATGTTTTAGCTATTGTACATGTGGTACATAGTAGGTATAGATGTTCAGTGAGTGCTTATGGGATAAATTGCATTATTTAACATCCTTTGGCCAAAATTTTCTTTCCATTTTCCTTTTTTTTTTTTTTTAGGGTCTTATGTTGTAATCCAGGTCTAGACTGGCCTCAAACTGTTCCTATCAGGATTACAGGAGTGCCAAAATGGGGACTTTGTTATTTAGTTGTTATGTTTAAATTAAATAACATAATTATTGTGAAACGAATGCTTCCTACTAACAGAGAAATAGGGAATTTTGTCTTTTCAAATCCTTAGATATCACTTTGTTGGACTGGTTAAAATAGATGGTTTTTCTTAAGTGGCACCTTATCTGTTGAACATAATTGTTGAACAGTCTTTGTTTTGTGTGTGATAATTATAAAATGAATAGATGAATAAGGTATATTCAATAATGATTAAAAATGAGATTTCTTAAGATATTTCGTAGGATTAAATGACTTAAAGAGAATTACCGTGATCTGAAAGGCTTCATGGAACAGATTAAGCTGGGTTTTGAAATTTGTATAGAATTTGACTAATTCAGGTGAAAAGGGGAAATGGCCCATGTAGGCAAAGGCTGAAGGAAAAAAAAAAAATCCGTGTGGCATTGTCAGATGCCTGTGACTCCACCTGTTGAGCGTTCCCATTGAGAAATGATGAGAAAGTGCTGAAAAGTGACTCTGGGGAGCTAGATTAGCGTAGTCTTGAATGCTTGGGAATCCTGTAAAGGGAAAGCTGTGAGGTTGTTTGATTAGGAAGGAATATATACTCTTGAAGGGAGAAGAGTTCTATAAGAATTTAAAAATGATTGGAGCTATTCTAGGGGGAAGGAGGTGAAGAGAATCTTTAACTTAGTGGTAATGAGAGGAGAAAAAAATTTTAAAACTGGAAAGATCATAGATATTAACCCATACAGTAACTGATTTTTAGCTGTTATTGAGCTGTCTACAAATTCTTATGTATTTTTCACATGAGTGCAATATGTATTTTATCTTATTTTAATTGCATTCTGGGGATTATATCCAGGACCTTCGCCATGAGCTGTATTGCCAGCTTTTGTATTATTTATTTATATATTTATTTATTTTAACACAGTCTTCACTAAATTACTAAGTTGATCAGGCTGGTCTTGAACTTTCAATCCTGCTGTCTCAGTTTCCTTTTTTTCTTAGATATTCAGCATGTTCATCAAAGCTTTGTTCCAAGAAATTAATGGCATTATAACCTAAGGTCCTGTTTTCCAAAATATGGTAAAAAACAAGCTTATTCTTTGGTGTACTTAATGCCTTTGACAGTAGAGTGTAGGCCTACTATAACCTTAGCTGTGATTGTTGTAGCTGCTTAGGGATGTACTGCATGTACATCATCTTTTTTCCTTTTTTCCTCTGTTCTTGGATGAGCGTTTTATTTTTGTGGTAGTTTCCTTGGGGCTCAAAATTTTTGGAAGTGTTGCTTTGTATTTGGCTGGATTGTTGGGAAAAATAGGATGGCTCAAAAATTAGTATCACTTTTTAATTGAGATAATAACATGTTTAAATTCCTTTGAACTTTAAAATAGGTATGAAGGCTGGGGATATAGCTCAGTGGTATAAATGCCTGCCTGGCAAGCACAAGGTTGTGAGTTCAGTTCCTGCTAGCCTCCTCTCATAAAAAAGAATACTAGTGTAAAATAGATACGAAGAAAAAGTCAACTTGTAGTTTAAATTTCATTCTCAAGTTATTTTGTATGTGACTTTGGTAGAAGAAATCTTAATGATTATATTAGTAAAATATCTCATTGTTAAGGTGCCTTTCTTTAGTGGGATTAATGTCAATGTTATTTTTTCAGACTGTCTGAAATAGTTATTTAAAAGCTAAAAGAATGATTTGAAAACTATGTTTTCAAAATGGATTATTTAGGACTGGAGATATAGCTCAGTAGCATAGCACCTGCCTAGCAAGTGAGAGGTTCTGAACTCAATTCCTTGCACAAAAAAATTTTACTTATTTCACTACTAGTAATTAGATGCATTTGCTTACTTAATGTTTAAAAATCTGTTTCTCCTTAAAACAAAACACATTTTTTTTAAAGGTAAGTAATGTTTGAATATTTAGGGATTATTTTGCTTAGTTCAAGCTACTTTATCAGTATTCCAATTTTAATGTAGATATTACCTAATGATAATTTCTCTTGTTTTTTAAGGTTAACAATCAGGATGGTACATGCTGAAGCCTTTTCTCGGCCCTTAAGTCGGAATGAAGTTGTTGGTTTAATTTTCCGTTTGACAATATTTGGTGCAGTAACATACTTTACTATCAAATGGATGGTAGATGCAATTGATCCAACTAGAAAGCAGAAAGTAGAAGCTCAGAAACAGGTATGATTTGAAGATCATTTCTCCTACCACTAGTAAATATTTTTCTCCTAAATTAAGAATATAGCAAAATTATAAATGAATTTTATAAAACTCACATGAAAATGCATTAGAACACATTATATAATTGCATTTTTTCTAAAAAACATTAGCTTATTAAGTCAGTTTTTACTACATAAGCAATTTCAGAAGGAGAAAATGACTACAAATAATTTTTTGTTAATATTTTCATTAGGATATTTTTTAAACTTAAGAATTAAGGAAGCGGGCTGGAGATTTAGCTCAGCAGCATAAGCGCCTGCCTTGCAAGCAGGCAGTCCTGAGTTCGATCCCCGATAACGATAAAAAACAAAACAAAACAAAAAACAAAAAAAAACAAACAAAAAAAGAATTAAGGAAGCTAGGTAAAGCTTCTCAGTAGATTAAACAAAAATAATTTTTTATTAATGGTGCTTATATTTTGCTTTGTGTGATAGTTGAAATTTGGATAATGCTGAGTTGTCAATCTTAACAGACTATACTAAAATCTAAGGAATTGCTTTAACAAGCTATTGTTTAATAATGTTATATTTTTTATTTTTCAGCTGCTACCTCATATGATCATTTCTTTATTAGGATGACATATTTATTTGCGTTCTGTTCCCTCAAAATTAAAAACTTTGAAGGAATCTTTCTCCATTTTTTGCCATTTGAGGACAAGATGTTCATATTCATGGATTTTTAGATTTGTTCTGTTTTAGATTTATTCTAAATCAGTTGTAACTGATTCATTCAATGAGCATTTGTGCTTGACGCTAAGGAAAAAAGTTAAATAACGTGTTTTGCTAGCATGATGGCACATACCTGTAATCCTAACACTTGAAAGACCTAGGTAGGAGTGCTGTGAGTTTGAGGCCACAAGTAAGCTCAAGACCAGTCTGCACTACATAGTGAGACCCTGTCTCAAAAAAACAAACAAAAACAAAAAACCCCAAAACAAAACAAAACTCATTTTTCAAAATGCTGTAAAAAAGCATGGGAAATAAGGAGGTAAATAAATGGCTTCTTTACAGTTTTCTATGTAGCTCTTGTTAGTTAGAAAGTGGACTTTGATGAATTTATTTCTTGAATTTGACTATAAAATAGTTGACTAAAAGTTGATCATATCATCACTATTCATAACACTGTGGGAAATCTGACCAGTGTAGGTTTTTTAAAAACTCATTTGATGATGTGCCTGAACATACCTTTTCTCCCCCAACCTGATTTAAAAAAGCTTAAGTTGCAGTTTATGATATTGTGATCAGGACTAAGACTTTGTTGTTGTTTTGTTTTTTTAAGACAAGGTCTTACTATGCAGTTCAGACTGACCTTGATCTCACTGTATAGCCCAGGCTGGTCTTGAACTCACAGTGATGCTTCCTGCTCAGCCTCCTGAGTGCTGGGATTACAGGACTGTGCCACTACACCCAGCAGGGATATGACTTTTTTTTTGTCTTTTTGAGACAGGGTTTCACTATGTAGTTTAGAATGGCTTTGAACTCACTTTGTAGCCACAGCAATCCTCCTGCTTCAGCCTCTCGAATGCTGGGATTACAGGCATGTGCCATCACAGCCAGCAGAGATTTTTGTGTTTTTTCTTGGCTTCTAGGATTTGCTTGAATTCAAATGTATAAGACATACAGAGAGCCAAATATAGATATTAAGTACTACATGAATGGATCATCATCAAGCTTTAATTGAAAACTTATGTATCATATTGTCCTAAATAGCAGATGTATAATATGTCAGGTGTTATATCTGACATCATGATATCTGTGGTAGGGGAAAAGACAAGATTTATTTTTGATACAGGTTATAGTAGTAAGTAGTATATACCTATTACTTAGCGACAAACCATGGCTTTTAGGGAAAGAATTGATTGCCAGTGACTGAGGCAGTTGAGTATGTCTTCATGAAAGATTTTGGCTTCGATAATAGACAAGGACAGTGCTAAGTAGAAAGAATATGAACGGAATCATATGGTAGGAATAATAAGACCAATTAAACGAACAGTAAATAGTTTAGTCAGGTTTAAGAGCAAAGTTTATATAATTCACTATTTAGTAGAACCTATAGGAAAAGATAAGGACTATATAGTAAAGAGTCCTGAATAAGTCAGGGAACAGATTTTTTTCAGTGCCTTTAATTTTTTAGTAGGTAGACTAAGGCTGATGCAAAATGCTACAGCATTTTTGAAGCCTGATATCAACTATAAATGAGATACACATTTTATTTCTAGTGTGATCCAGTTTCATAGTAACTTACTAGTGTTTAAAACATCCAGAATTAAAAAATTGTCCTAGAATGTTACTTGGCCAAGGATTATAGGTTCTCTGCATTCCTTCCCTCTTCCTTCTTATATCCCTGACCAACTACTGAATATGCTGTTGACTAGTTAAAGAATTCTCTATAGGCAGTAGAAAGCTATTAAATATTTTGGAGAAGGTGGGTGATATGGAAAACAATCTTAAGGTAATTTACCTTACACTAGTATAAAGGCAAAAAAGGGGTGAAGAGAGACAAGAAGCAAATATGTTATAGACTATAATGGTCTGGTGAAGACTAGAATAAGAATAACAGAAGGAATGCAATAGGTGAAATTGACTCGAATGCAGCAATGCAGAATGATATGGGGAAAGGAAAATATTACATAAATGAATCAAGATTTGCGTCGATTCCTTAAAAATTCATAATATCTTTTACAATGATTTAGAAATTGATATAGCAAGTGTACAAGATGATGACATTTAATATGTACATAATGGGTTCATATTGTGGCAGGAATTCAGGGAGAAGTATTCATGCAGTAATTGAAATTATAGGTCTGAGTCTTATCATTAAGACTAAAAGTTATTCCTAGTCAGTCCTAAAAGTTATTTTTTGTTATCAGATGTCCATAAGTAATGGGAAACATTAGAGACATAATTCTCAACTTGGGTGGGTAAAAAGGCTTTTATTTTGTATGTGTATATGATTCGTAGAGCTTTTCTCAGACCACTTTTTCATCTTCCTCCTGCTACCATCCAGATTTATGCATTAGACACTTGAGAGCTTCTGATGTAACTGTCATTGTAGTAAATTCCCGTGACTGAATTGAGAGTGGTGAGATCCCCACAGATGTTACAAAGCAACAAAAATAGTAGGCTGCAGAATATAGACATACCTTATCATTTAAAGAAGGGGAATGCAATAGACAGCCAGTGAAGAATAAATATATTGATCAGTTGAGGCAATTAGTACCTGGACTGATTCCTGTTTGAAATAAAAACAACTAAGTAAGCTGGATGACTTTCAAAAATTTTTAAAAGGATTCATGAACTATGAAGAAAGTAAGCAATTTAGGTAAAAAAATACTTCAGGCAAAAATTTGGAAAGGTATAACTAGCTTTCCACTGCTGGGAATTTGCTGAACCTATTGAGTTTTGAGTGGATATTTTCACGGCCAAAAGAGCTCAGTGCGCAAAGTGTACTGCCAGTCGAAGGTAAGGAGTCTCCCAGATGATGCCCCTACAAATCTAGGACCACAAAAAGTCCTATGTAGTGTTTCAGCCAAAGACAGAGATGTAAAAATAACTTAAGATAAATTTAAGTCACGCTAGGTGAAGTGACACATCTAAAGTTTAGACACAGAAAAATGGAATGAAGGGCCAAGGATATAGCTCAGCAGCACAAGTCCCTGCCTGGTAAGTGTGAGGTCATGAGTTTGATTCCTGTACCGAAATAAAGAAATAGAAAATTACATTTACTGGTGAATTGACTTCATCTCATTTTCTCTATTGTCTTTGTCTTAAAGTTTCTTTTTGTGCAATTAGGTTTCTTTATGTTTGTGTGGCATGTACATTTCATTGGCAAATGCAAATTAAAAATCACTTTGAGTTACATTTTTACAATTAATAAAATGACAAAACCGCTGGTCTACTAATATCATTTACTAGAGAGAGACTGGAACAATAGCATAAACATGCTGGTAAGAATAAAAATAATCATTTTTGAAGATTGGCATTATCTAGTAAAGTTGAAAATATGCATTCTAAATGACCCACGAGTTTTATTCTGTGCATAACTGAAAGAACTAGGAATTACATAACTAACTTTTCATAGCAGCCTTGCTTACAATTAAAAAAACAGGAATCAATTTAAATATTTAGGTAAATGTTGATATATGCATGTATTGAAAAGGAAAGATAATTTTCCCTGTACCTTTTTGAATTCTCGGTTAGGACCCTCTAAGTAAAGACAGATTGACAAGAGAAAAACAGCAACAACTTGAATCATGAAGCAGCCATCATGGAATGCCAGTTTGTGAGAACTAAAATGTGTTAACCAAGAAAGTCATTATGATGTACGTTACCAGTCAGGTAGCTTATTGAACTGAATCTTAGAATAGTGAAAAAGTGAACTAATGAATAAGTTAGGGTATCAGTTAAGTGAGTATTGTCTGGATGAGCAAGAGGACAGAGTAATAAGCAGTAAAGGGAAACTAGTAGTGTAGTATAAAGCATACTAGGATAGGACCATAGTATGAAGGCATCTTTTCCAAAATCTTCCAAAATGATGGTAATATCAGAGGTAAGAGATGAAGTACAGTAACCCTGAAAGAGAAGGTTACTATCTCCACATGTTTGGGAGTTAATGAAGTTCATAATCGTACCTATGCATAAAGATAATTACTCAAAATAATTGCTAATTCCTATTAATTGCATTTTAAAATTTTGCATATCAATAGTTTCCTCTACCTACACTTAAACTGGAGCTATGGTCAATTGATGTGACCCCCAAAGAATCAGAAGCTGTGCTTGTTTCTGACTTACGTTTAATTGGTTCATCTCTTTTTTTTACTCTTGTTAATGCTATGTGTATCTTTCTAAAATTATTCTTAGAAAAGACAATCTTATGAACCTTGAATGAAATGAGTGTTACTTCATAATATTTCCTTTTCTGTTGCTTTTTACCAACAACTCCTCTTCTCCACTCCAGGCAAAAATACTACTTAACTGTTTATGACTTATTCAGCTTCTTAAAATGAAATGGCATAAAGGGATGATGAAATAATTGAAAGAGTAAAAAAAGCATGAAACAGTTAATATACAGTAAAAAGTAATTTCTCCTCCTTTCATTCCTCCCCTGTATACATTCCCTGTCTACCATGTTTTCTCCACAGAGAAAACAACTTGGAGAGACCCAGATTAAGAAACAACCAAACACTGTTGACTAGAAAATATAATTGTCATTAAACTATAAGTGATAAAACAGTATTCAAGATAAGTCATTTTTATAGTGGTCTAGACATATTTTTGTTTTTCTAGTTAAAGCATTTTAGAATTAGAAGTTCACTTAAAAGTCAAAACCAGACAGTTGGATTAATTATTCCTGGGACATAGTTTAGAGGTAGTTATAATGTGTTTTTTGGTACTTTTTTGCATTTATTTTCTGTTCCATAAGGGATGTTAGTGCTTCAGGAGACCACGACTTTCAATTAGACAAATGAGTGCCAGCCATGAGATAGGAGCACAATAAATGTTAATTTCTTTCCCCTTTATGTCAGTGTTATATTATTAACAACCTGAATCCACTGTTAAAATGAGACACTGTTGCAGAAAAGAGACCTTAGATAAACTAGATGATGCAGCATTTTCTGTTCTATAAACAATGTAATTATTTAGGAAATTTGGGATATAAATAAAGAGTTGTTTAAAACAAGATGTAGTTGTGGAACTGTAATATTTTTAAGATAGCTAACTATTAAGGAAAAATCAGGGTTTCTCAGCTCAGGCGCTGTTACTTTTTTAGAACTGGTAATTGCTTGGGCTGTAAGGAGGAGGGCTTTCCTGTGTTTATAGAAGGATAGACAGTGTCCCTGCCTCAGCTGCCTCGATCATCGTAGCACTGTCTTCCTCAAGTATGACAATCAGAAATATTTCCAGACACTGTTAAATGCCTCCTGACATGGGGACAGAGGAAGAGGCAAAATGTCCCCAGTCAAAGTCTACTATTTTAAGAATATTGTTTAAAAAGAACGCGTGTAGGATGGCTTCACTTTTATAGCAGCGTTATAAAAAAGAATAACTTAATGTCCTTACTATGCCAAAAAAAGTGTACTTTTCATAGCTCACACATAAAAGCTTACAGGCTGTAAGAAAAAGGGTATTTTTAAGAGGGGAACCTAGAAACCTGAAAAGGGGTTTATGTCTTGGTGATTTAAAGAGATAAGTAAGCAGAAAATACGCCATATGTGATTATCTGATTGGTTAATAACACTTTAAAAAAAAAAAACTATTAGTACGATGTGATCAGCACACAGTTCTTACAATCTCTGAGTATGTTATATATAGATTTTTGAAGACTTCAGTGGTCACAAAAACCCTTATATGGAGAAAGCAAGTCATGTATATGTGGTGTTTAGATTATCAGCTCGAGTTATATGGAGAAACCAAGTTATATGGAGAAACCAAGTCATTTATATGTGGTGTTTAGATTATCAGCTCCAGAGTTGGACTGTTGAGATTCATATCTTGCCTCTTCTATTTGCTTACTTTTCATCTAAAGCAAATTATTTATGTTATGCTTCTGTTTCTTTTTCTACTAAGGGGAATATTGTACTTTTATATATAGGACTATGAGAATTCAGTGAGTTCACCTGCTTCCTACGTTTTGACATAATTTTGGGACATTCAGAAAATGTTTGTCATTTTTATTATAACTGAAAGCTGTTTGCATTGTTTGAACTCATAGATTTGAAGTTGTACCTACTCTTAAGGGGATACAGATTATTTTTCAGTTGCTTATGAGTGAGGCAACATCCTCCCACTCCTACCCTTCCAAAAACATTGAAATCAAGTATGTACAGGCATCTACTGTAGATACCTGGGTAATTAGAAGGAAGTTGAATATCTTTTTCAGATACCCTGTTAATTGAGGGAAAGAAACTCCAGTTGTACATTTCTTGACTCTGGACTTTCATCTTGAGGTTTTACCTGTACCTGTTGTGATAATCTTTCTGGAAAGAGAAATCAAAATGTATCTTCTTAATGTCTCCTCAGAGCTACATATTGGAAGGTACAGATTATGTATCTCTCTAATCATGTGTCCTGTTGTCTCATTTCCTAGGAACTGGTTAAATTGCTGTTTCTGTAGGGTGGAGCCTCAAATTTTTTCTTCACTGATGGGTTCACGGCAAGGAAGGATAAGACCAACAGGCCTAAAATATTCTTGGAAAATGCTTTAATGTCTGTTCATTGCTCATTACACTTCATTTTTGAGGTACCAGTATCTATCAGAATAAAGGCTGCTGCTTTTTTTCTTTCTAGGCAGAAAAACTAATGAAGCAAATTGGTGTGAAAAATGTGAAGCTTTCAGAGTATGAAATGAGTATTGCTGCTCACCTAGTAGACCCTCTTAATATGCATGTAGGTATTTTTAATCTTATGATTTTGGGGGGCGGTCTGCCATTTTATGAAACTGGTCTGGAAGACTAGAGTAGTTTCACTGATACTCTAGGAAGAGTCATAAAACTCAGCATATAAGTATGTAGTCATACTCACAGATGTGATTTATTATACTGAGTTGATACAAGGCAGAGTCGCGGAAGAGTAAAAGGAATGGAGTTAAGTCTGGAGAAAAGCAGGCCCATCATCTAAGAGTTGCATCTACGCTCACAGGATATGCTTAGTTACCATATGAACAAGCTGTGACAGTACATGTGCAGTGTTGTCAACCAGGGAAGCTTACTCAAGACTCTTCAGGAATTTTATCTGGGACTGGTCATGTAAACTTCTTCCTTAGATACATCAGAAGACTAGACTCCCAAAAGGAAAAGGGTCATTGACCTTAAACCACACTGTTGATACAGTTTAGGCACAGTGAGCTGTTCTTGTCAGGGAGTGATGAGAACTCTCCCAAAATCTAATGTTCCAAATCCTAGCCAGGTACTAACTTACAAGCAGGCCTTTCTGAGTACAACTGTCCCAGACCTGTGTTAACTCTTCTGCACACATTGCTTGGTACAGCTTGGACTTTCGTATATCTTCCCTTGTGAAATGCAAAATTTGTCTATGCCATTGCGGATATTTGATTTGTGGAGTTTAGATTTTAATGATATGATAGACAACACCTGACCCCAAATCTCAAGTTTTCACTTGTGGCCTTTTTTTTCCCCTTTGAAACAGAGTCTCACTGTGTAGTTCAAACTGGCGTGGAGTTCACTGTGTAGAACACGCTGGCTCAAACTCACAGTAATTCTCCTCCCACTGCCTCCTGAGTGCTGGGGTTACAGATGTGCGCCCCCACACCTGGTTGATTTCTTTTTTAAAAGATCTTAGTTCCCACAAGTGTAATCCAAAAATAATGTAGTGAGTGTTTTGAGGATATTTTGGTGGTACTGAGTACTGAACCCAGGACCTATATCCCCAGCCCTTTCTTAATTTTGAGACGGAGCCTCACTAAATTCTCAGGCTGTGTTTGAACTTGTTATTTTGCTGCTTCAGCCTCCTAAAGTGTTGATATGTGCCATCAGGCCTGGGAGGTTCAGATTAATTTGTAAGTCCAATATTCTATGAGTATTTTATGGCAACAGAAACAGTAGAATATAGTTTTCAAATGCAATATTATATTGATATGTTAATAAGTGGAATTTAATATAATAGCCCTGCCTTCAAATCTAGAAAGTAAGTATCTACAGTATCCTGTAATATCTATATACTGGGACATACACTCGAATTAATCTCATTTCAGTTTGGTTCATGAATTTACAATGGCACCTTCTTGGGTTCTAACAGAGTAAGTCTGTACTAACACAGCATTTTGTTGGAACTAAAGTAAATGTTACGATTTTTCTTCAGACCTGTCTGCTGGTTCATATTTTCTCTTTTTTTCTACCATGAATTGTAAAGAAAGTAAGTCTGCTCTAAAATGGTGATCTTACTGGCCACTTTACTAGATTAGAGGGAGATTAACTTTTCAAGTCCATGTTAGTTTTACTCCTCACCTCCAGTGTTTTTAAAATTGAATTAGGTTTTCTATACTCCTTACTAGGATAGAACCCAGTCTTGTTTTGTTTTGTTTTGTTTTTGAGATAAGGTCTTGCTAAGTTATTCAGGTTGGCCTTGAACTTTTCTTAGCCTCCTGAGTAGCTGGGATTATATAGGTGTGGGCCAGTGTGCCTGGCCTTTGTCTTTTTTGAAAATATATATACCCTACTTACTGCTTAAAAAGATGCCCCGTAAGATTGGACAGTTTTATTTTAAATGAATAAAAGTTAGAAATGCAGTTTGATGGGTATAAACCTTACTTTTAGAGTTCCTATTATATTTGACTGCATCCTATATGAGCTCAGCACAGTCCTCCTTGTGAGCTCTTCACCATTAATCTGTTAAATTACAGTGATATTTTGGTCCATAAACTTACACTTCCCATGATTCTGGTGGCAAATCAAATTCAGTAGTTAGGTTCAGTGTTGACCTTCAGTGGGAAATTTGATGCAGTTCCCATTCAGTTTGGTTTGTAAATAGAATCTTGGAGAGAATTAAGCTCCCAAACTGAAGTACCACTGTTTCTGAACTGAAACACCACTATATCTGTCTGACCTGGTTCTCATTCTTCTTGTGGCAAAGTATTTCCTCCTTGTAAATGGAATGCATTCAGACTATTGGATTGTTGCAGATTTTTGAGTACCTGACACCCTCACCTACCCACTCCTTTCCCAACTATGTTAGGGATGGAACACATGGTCTCCTATGTACTAGCCAAGGGCTCCACCACCTCTAGTTATAGCATTTTTTTTAATAATAGGAAACTAAATGCTAAATTTCTTTCTTCAAGTGTTACACAGTTTATTTTATTGTTGCAGTGAAAAATTTTTATTCATGTTAACATATAATTTTAACCTTTTTATTATTTATGTGCAATTATCAGATTATATATTTACTATTGGGAGTGGGAATGTATTTTGCTTTTGTGAGTATACATTACTTGGAAAATTTGTGTTGACCTTAATTTTTGCCAGGTTACCTGGAGTGATATAGCAGGTTTAGATGATGTTATTACAGATCTGAAAGATACAGTCATCTTACCTATCAAAAAGAAGCATTTGTTTGAGAATTCTAGGCTTCTGCAGCCCCCCAAAGGTAGGTATAATATAATGCATATTTGCCTAAAACAAGTCTTGTAAACATGCTTTCAACTATTCCATAACTGATTTTTGTGAAGTCACGTTCTAAGAGAATGCCAAGATCAAGTGGACTATTTTATAAATATTTTAAAATAATTGTGCATTGTTCTTCTGATTTTTTTTTTTTTTTTTTTTTTGGTTCCAGGGATCGAACTCATGACCTCGCATTTGCCAGGCAGACACTTATGCTGTGCTTCTGAAATGTAGTTAAATTCTTTTCCTGTAGTTACATGTCAAAATAATCTCTATTTAAAACTTCTTTTTATTGCTGCCAAGTAAATTAAAATTTAGGAAATTAAGATTTTAAAAATGTCCAAAGTCACAATATATCCTTCTCTCAAGCCATGTTTTCATTGTTTCACAACTCTAATGTGTTTGTTTTTCCTCCTAGTGATCTATGTTTAGATTGTAGTGATTCTTTTTTGTGGATAAGGGGTTTGGGGATGGTCCTGCTATGAAGCTCTGGTGGGCACTGAACTCTTGAGTCTCTTGCCTTATCTTCCCTACTCCTGGCATTACACGCATGTTCCACTGTACCCCGCTTGTAGGGAATCTTTATAGGAAATATTGAACTGCAGATGAACTGGAAATGATCACACTTTCCTTTTGGAGGGGGGGCCCTGGAGGTTGAATCTAGAGCCTTTGCAATGAGCTACATTCCCAGCCCTTTTTATTTTTTATTTTGAGAGCGAGTTTCTGTCAAGTTGATAAATTGTCCAGGTTAGACTTGAATTGATAATCCTGTGCTTTCGATTCCCAGAGTGTTGTGATTACTGGCGTGTGTGCTATCAGCCCTGGCTAAGTATTGCTATTTGTGGGAAACCTCCTTATTTGTAATTGGTTGTATTTGAAAACCTTGGAATTTAAGAATTGTGATACTTCTAATTACGTCTCTAAATGTAATCTTTTTATTCTTATTTATACAGACATTGATCATTCTTAAAGTTCACTAGAGGCAATTCAGATAGTGTATATATGATTATTTACATATTTATATATTTATTTCTTGGCAGTATGCCTTCCACATTGAATTGTGTTCACAATGGTGAAATGTAATTCTAAGCACCTGCAATCAACCATGTGTTTGCAGCTTTAAATAAAATGACATTAGGCTATTATTCTTTTTTGTTTTACATGCTTATCCAAAGAAAAGTTGTTACCAGAAGGTGCAGATTATAACAGACTTAATTAAATTTAAGCACTTAAATGAACTTAATTAAAAATGGAAAGTCATTTGAAAATATTAGCATGTACTGGTAAAGCTTATGGCTTGAAATTTTATTTTTTTTATTTAAAGAGAAAAAAGAAAGGATATAAAAAAAAACAAAGCAGTAAAAGGGTACAAGTAATACAGAATTTCAAGAAAAAAAATATACAGTAAGAAATCACTAGTTAATAGGTTACATATTGTCTTCCTAGAAACAGTTATCCAAATTATAAAATTAAAGCATATAAAGTGGACATTCATACAGTGATCTTGGAGACAGGTCCGTTCAGTGATCTAACAAAAAGCTCAGTAATACGGTTTTCCATCCTACACACTCAAAACATACCTGCGGTTATATCCGTTAGTCCACCTTCCTTTCCTCTGTTATTTACAATAACAATTACACTTTTTGGGTTTTATTAGTCCCACAAGTTCTTACTACTTTTTTTGAAGAGAATAAAACCAAACGTGACTAAGTAAAAGAGTCAGAACAGAAGGGTGGGCATAGTACATGATGCAAAAATAGAATACCAGGTGATCGAAAGTGGTTACCATTGTGCCTCTTGCTATTTTTAAATTGAGTTGCCTATATCATCAAGTATAATAGAATTGATGAAACAGTACAGAACAAGACCAATAAAACCTACACTGGAGACCTTACAGGACTTCAAAAAAAGATCATAGTCAAACCATAATGGGCATTATAGTATATCTTACTGCCTTCAAAGTGGTTATGGCTTGAAATTTAAAATCAACTTTAGCGATCCCTGGTACCGATAAAAAGGAAAAAGAAAAAAAAAACAAAAAACACAATCAACTTTAGAACCAGATACGGTGTTCATACTTGTAATCTTAAGCACCCTGGGAGGCTGAGGCAAGAGGTTCACAAGTACTGAAAAAAAAATGTTTAATTTAAAATTCGATTACTTGATGTTGTAACCTGAATCTCAAAGAATTAACACCAGTAGGAAAATCTGTGTACACTTGAATATGTTTGAGTATTATTTTGAAATGCCTAATATGAAAAGAAAATTCAGTAACTTTATAGAAATAAGCTTGAGTTTTTTACTTAAAAATATAGAATTTTATAGTGGAACGTTTATAGAAATACTTTTCTCATTTTGAATTTTATTTTGAATATATTAGAACACTTTAGATACCTCAACCCCAGCATACCATCTATATATACTGTCATTCTTTAAGAACCATGACATGAGAAGAGTTGAGCTTTGAATTTAGCAGATAGTTTAAGAAATACACATACAAATTGGGCATGGTGGGACACACCTATAATGCTGGTATTCTGGGATCCTCAGGTAGCAGGGATCACAAATTCGAGCTTAGTCTGAGGAATTTGGCAATGTATGAGATCCAGTCTCAAAATAAAAAAGGGCTAGGGATGTAGCTCAGTATGAGGCCATGAGTTCAATCTCTAGTACTGCTAAAAAGAAAGAAAAAAAAGTCTAGAGATTGTAATTTTCATTAAAACTATGTAGATTATTTATAAACAAGCTCACAATTTTAGTATTATATTGCTTTAAAAATATGCCTCATATCAGCTGAGAAACAATGATTTTGAAAATGTTTAAGACTTCAACTTGTTTAGATCTTTTATGTGTTGAATATATTACCTTAAGTTGTATTTAGCTGTCAATGGTAACTATATGTTAATAATGCAAATTAATTTGGAAATTAAAACAAAAGTGACTAATAATTCTGTATTCCTTTAAAAAAAGTTTATTATCTATTTGGAAAAGGCATGTCCTTTTGGAAAAGGATATCCTTTGGCTAATCCAACAGCAAAATGATGTTTACCACTGTTTGTTTTGAAGTTATCTATTACCTTTAAGGTGTTATCAAGGTTTGGTAGTGCTCTCTTAGCTTGTGAAGGTGGAATGCTTTAGATGACTTTTATTGCCAGTTTTTGACAGAGTGATGTGAACTTGGATGATGATATTTAATCTCCTGAGCAGAGAAAGTACAGGGTTGCTTTAGTCTCTAAATACATGTCTTCAAGTGACAATTTAGAAGATAGTGACTTTTTTACTAATACCTGTCTACTATAAATAGATTGAGTAAATGATTAAATATTGGGAATGTTTTAGTGTTGACAGAATTAATATTATTTTTAACATAAACATCTCATTTTCTTAAAGGTACTAATAAATTAACATTGATTTCTAGGTGTACTTCTCTATGGGCCTCCAGGCTGTGGTAAAACATTGATTGCCAAGGCTACAGCCAAAGAAGCTGGCTGTCGATTCATTAACCTTCAGCCTTCGACACTGACTGATAAGTGGTATGGAGAATCTCAGAAGCTAGCTGCTGCCGTTTTTTCCCTTGCCATAAAATTACAGCCTTCCATCATCTTTATAGATGAAATAGGTATGATTTCCATGTGAGCACTTCTATTTTATTTATTTTAATTTTTTTTCCCTCAATACCAGGAATCAAACATGGGACCTTGTGCTTGCCAGGCAGGCACTGTGCTGCTGAGCTATATTCCTGGTCCCACGTGAGCACTTTAAAAAGCCATTTATTTTTTATTTTTTTTTTTTTTTTTGTCTTTTCATTTTTATCGGTACCGGGGATCAATAAAAAGCCATTTTTAAAGGTGATATTTAGATAACCAGATTTAGGTCCTACTAATAAGAGGTGTAATGAGCATCATAATACATGACATATTGTTTCAGTGTTATAGAATAAACCATTGTCTGCTCCTTTTCTTACTTGATAGACAGGCTTTTCTGTCTTTTTTCTCTTATAAATGATATGCATGGGCATGCATTGCATGTATATTTTCTCCTTATAGGTTGAACTTCATCAACTTCTTTGGATTAACAGTTGTCTATAGACTCCCTCTAGGGTATGGTTTGTTGCCCAGCATACTCTTTAAGATTTATTTTTTTCAAGAAGGAAGGGGAAAGAAAAAAAAATTTTATATATAATATATATATTTTTTATATATTTATTGTATATATGTATATTTGCATAGCTATATCTATATATACTTGTATTTTTCTTAGTTTTTGTTGATGTTGATTATGACTACATATATTTTCTAGAATGGCTTGTTTTTATTTATGATAGTTTCTTTTTTACAGTGATTTAAATTTGAATGTAGTTACCTTTAGCAATATTTTTTCTCTATGGTTTATGCATTTGATGTCAGGTTTACAAATTCCTTTACTCTTCCTATAAATACTTCCTTTTAAAAACTTGGATAAATAATGTGAAGTATGAATCTTATTTCATTCTTCATTAGGATAGCCAATTTATAGAATAGACCATCCTTCCTTGTCACCACTTTTATATTAGTAAGTTATATTTTATGGATTACTGAAATTTTTGTTATGTTCCTAGCACAATACATTATACATATATAAAATATGTGCATATATTTATATCTTAATTACTATAGCTTTCAATTACATATTATATGTAGTATGATATGCTAAGGATTGATATGTACTATATAGAGTTGGTTACTTATTTGCATTTGTATCTTTTATCAGTTTACTCTTTCAGCAATTTTTGGTTTTTGGTGTGCATCTTGAAGAAACATGTAACTGAATTTTTAAAATCTAATTTACCTGTAACTAGGAAGAATACTTAAATTTGCCTTTATTATGATAGCTAATATATTCAAATGTTTGGTTATTTATTTACTTACCTATTTATGTACTTGGAAGTCAAACTTATGATGTTGACTTAACCAGGCAGGTGCTTTATGCCACTGAGCTATATCCCCAGTCCCTCAGATTTATTTCTACAGTGGAATTTTGTGCTTTTTATCAAGCTGGTGGATTGTTAAATTTCTCTTTTCCCTGATAAAGGTATAGAAATTACATGTTCTGTTTCTTCTAGTGAAACGTTTTGCACATCTACTTGACTTAAAATTGTAAAGCTAAACTTTTCTGCCCTCATCCCAAACCTTAGAACTCTTACATATTAATAATTTCATAGTTTATTTTCTTAAAACCCTTGCATATTGTCATTGTACAGTGGAATTGCTTCTTTAGATAATTATATTAGCTTTCCCTGAATTTTTTATTGAAATCTTTTAAAGTTCTTTCAGTAAAGGTTGTAAAGATTCTTTTTGTTATCTCTTAAATGATACAGAATTGTTTTCCTTCAGCATTTTGAAGTTGTAATTCCGTTGTCTTCCACTCTTTTTAAAAAAAAAAATTCTGCTTATTGCCTAATATGGTTTCTAAACTGAGATTTTATGGTTTTCTTTTTTTTTTTTTTAATTTTATTTAAAAGGAAAAAGAGAAAAAACAAAACAAAACAAAGCGGTGTAAGGGTACAAGTAATATAGAACTACAAAAAAAAAAAACAGTAAGAAATCACCAGTTAATAGATTACACATTATCATCTTAGAGATAGTTGCTCAAGTCACAGTATCAAAGCATATAAAGTGAACATTCAAACAGAGAGACTGCAAACAGTTGTGTTCAATGATCCAACCAAAAACATTAATATGGTCAGCTATTTAACACCCCTAAACACACTTGCAGTTGTATCCTTTAGAGCACTTTTTTCTCTCTCTTTTTTACAACAAAATTCACACATTTTGGGTTTTATTACTCCTTAGTTCTTATTACTTTTTTTTTTTGGAAGAGAATGAAGTCAAATATGGCAAAACAAAGCTGTCAGTCAAAATCAAGAATAGACATAGTACATGATGTAAAAACAGAGTACAAGATTATCAACAATGGTTACCATAATGCCTCTTGCGCCCTTAAAAAGAATTGTCTATCTCATTAGGTATTATAAAGTTGAACAAAACAGTAGAGAACAAGACCAATAAAACTTAAACATTGTAAACATTACAGGACTTCTAAAGAAGATAATAGTCAAACCAGAATGGGCATCTTAGTGAATCTTATTGTCTGCAAAGTAGTTGCTTATACCCTCAAACTTGATACTATCATACAGAACGGAATAGAGTCTAATTAGTCAAAACAAGATTGTGGGAGTATTACAGGACTTCAAAACAAGTTAATAGGAAATTTAAAAAAAGTTACTATAATATATCCTAATTTAAAAAATTTTTCCCCTTAATTAAAAAAACCATAAAAAATAACTAAATAATTTTTTTAATGAATAAGGGAGAGATTGAGATAAAAGAGGACGTAACAACATAACAATACAGGTCAAAGCATGACTATTTCCGCAACCTAGTGCTTCACCACCAAATAACCCGACTTAATAGTAGTTACCATAGTGTCTGTCTTTTTCCTTGAAATATTTGAATATAACTTCATATACTATAGCTTCAAATATTTCCATATCAAGAAGCTTAGAATAAAGCCTTTCGAATTAATAAGTGAAAACTTTATAAGGCTTCAAGGCCACATAATGGGGAATCATGATTACCACATACTTTTATATATTTGAATCATTACTTACATTAGGGAAACTATTCGGTATTCACACATGCGAGATTGATTTATTTCACTTATGAGTATGGTCTCAAGCTGTGCCCATTTATTGATAAATATCTCAATGTGATCCTTCTTTATAGCTGAGTAATACTCCATTGTATAGAAATACCACAACTTTTTTATCCATTCCTCAGTTGATGGACACTTGGGTTGTTTCCAAGATCTGGCGATTACAAATTGTGCTGCTATAAACATAGGTGCACATATATCACTGTGGTATGATGCTTTCAGTTCTGGGGATATGCCTAGAAGTGGAATAGCTGGAACAAATGGGACTTCCAATCCCAGCTTTTTGATAAATCTCCAGACTGACCTCCACAAAGGTTGTACCAGTCTACACTCCCACCAACAGTGTAGGAGAGTTCTTTTTTCCCCACAGCCTCTCCAGTATTTGTTGTTGTTGGTTTTCTTGATCCTGGCCATTCTTTCAGGAGTGAGATGGTATCTCAGTGTGGTTTTAATTTGCATTTCTCTAATGACCAATGATGATGAACATTTTTTCATGTATTTATTTGCCATTTGTATTTCTTCATCTGAGAAGTGCGTATTCATCTCAGATGCCCATTTTTGGATTGAATCTTTGAATTTTGGGGGTCTGAGTTTTTTTTAATTCTTTATATGTTTTAGACAAGAGTCCCTTGTCTGAGAGAGAGTTCACTAAAATCTTTTCCCAATTTGTGGGTTTTCTTTTCACTATGCTGGAGATTTCTTTTGACATGCAGAAACTTTTTAATAAGAAATGGTCCCAGTTATTGATTCTGGGAAGTATTTCCCATGCGGTTTGAGTCCTGTTCATGAATTCTCTACCTACCCCTATGTCTTCAAGGTTTCTACCCAATTTGTCTTCCAATAGATTTAGTGTTTCTGTTTTAATATTCAGATCTTTGATCCATTTAGATTTTAATTTAGTACATGGTGATAGACATGGGTCTAGCTTTAGTTTTCGGCAAACGGAGAGCCAGTTTTTCCAGCACCATTTATTAAAGAGACTGTCATTCTTCCAGTGAACCTGCTTGGCTCCTTTATCAAAGATAAGGTGGTTGAGTGTGTTTGTAGTTGTGGTTGCATCTTCTAATCTATTCCATTGATCTTCGGCTCTGTTTTGATTCTAGTACCATGTTGATTTTATTACTGTTGCTTTGTAGTATAACTTCAAGTCAGGGACTGTGATGCCTCCTGCCTTGCCTTTGCTGCTTCGAATTGGCTTTGCTATTCTAGGTCTCTTCTGGTTCCAAATGAATTTTAGGAGTGATTTCTCTAGATTTATAAGGATGTTGATGGTATTTTTATTGGGATTGCATTGAATCTGTATAACAGTTTTGGGAGAATGGCCATTTTCACAATGTTTGTTCTTCCTATCCATGAGCAAGGGATGTCTTTCCATTTTCTGAGATCATCTTCAATTTCTTTTTTCAGTGTATTATAATTTTCCCTGTATTGGTCTTTCACTTCTTTCGTAAGAGTAATTCCTAAACATTTCATTTTTTTGCTTGCTAGTGTGCAGAGTGTGGTTTCTCTTATCTCCCTCTGTGTGATTTTGTTGTTAGTGTATAGGAATGCTATTGATTTCTGAGTATTGATTTTGTATCCAGCTATATTACTAAATTTATTTATTATATCTAAGAGTCTTTCAATGGAGTTTAGAGGGTCTTCTATGTAGAGTAGCATGTCATCTGCAAACTGATAATTTAACTTCTTTTTTTCCTATCTTTACCCCTTTAATTTCTCTCTCTTGTCTAATTGCTCTGGCTAGTACTTCCAGTACTATATTAAATAGGAGTGGTGATAAAGGACATCCTTGTCTTGTGCCTGATTTTAAAGTAAAGGCTTTCAATTTTTGGCCATTTAGTATGATGCTGGCTGTTGGTTTGTCATAAATGGCCTTTATTGTATTGAGATAAAGATCATCTATTCCAATTTTCTGTAAAGTTCTTA